GGGGGGGATGGGGGGTGTTTTTGCCTTTTTAAATATATTTCTAAAAGTTGGAAGGTTGAATGTTTATGCACTATGTTGAGCTGGTCAAAATTTGTAAAGGTGGTTTCTTGCTTTCTGTTGAAGTTACACTGGTTTTAGAATTGTTGCCTTTTTTTGGTGATCATGTGTTTCCTGAAGTTGACTCCTTCATTAGTTTGTTGATTACTTGGTGAACCAACTAAGGTCAATAATGGTTATGCAGAAGAATGAACAGGTAACTGACACTGTTATAACATGTCAAATTACAATGATTTTGTAAAAATGTGTGTTCCTTTTAGGGAGGAGGCTGAATCTGTTTGCGAGATGAGGGATTCTTTCAGCGATTCGTTAAGTGACGAGAGCGAGAATGAAAAGCTATCGAGGTGGGATGGATGCTCCTCTGAGGAAGGTGTAGTTGAACAAGATAGCTTAAGCAGAACGAATGATAGATTGGGCTACCTATATTTTCAGTATTTCGAGAGATGTACTCCATATGGAAGAGTTCCTCTAATGGATAAGGTATCATCTTTACCAGATCATGTCATTTTTGTGCAATAAAGAAATCTATATAGAGTTATGGAGTGTTACCATGTTAGGTGTTAGTTACTTCTCTCGCTTCTTATAATGTGCTTTGTGAAATTATGTGGTAGAATCAGATAAGTTTGTTGTAGTTCATCATGTAGAATGTTGCAGTTTCTTCTGCTTCTTAATTTTCTTCCTTTAAGCCATTAGATTATAGCCTATAAATCATAGGCATAAAATGGATTATTTGTTTTAATTAGTATAATCAACTAATATACGCCCTCTATACAGTTTTTTCCCGAAACCATCAGTAGCATAATATCATATCATCTGATATATAATTAGAAGCATATGTTCTTTCTTTATGAAGTTAGATTAACGTAATGCTATTTTATGATGATAAGAGTATTAATTCCATGTGAAATATGTGGTTTGTATGTTCAAGAATATGTTTCTTTCTTTTGATTGACGTGAGTCTATAACCAGCTCATACTGCCTTTCAGATTAATGGCTTTGCTGAAAGATACCCTGGACTAATGTCATTGAGAAGTGTAGATCTTTCGCCGGCTAGTTGGATGGCAGTTGCTTGGTATAGCAGCCTTTACTCTCTGTTTGCAACTTATGATCTTGGAATCTGTCGTTAATCTATACGACTTTATCAAATTGAAGTGATTTAGATGCATTAAACTATGTTTCCATCCAAGTACTTATATAAGGTGACGTAAAATTTTATATTTACCTTCCGTTAGTGGCCAAGAAGAATCAGGAGATCATGTTTTCTCTGTAGCATATCCTACATGATACCATGTCATTGATGCTTTATTCTTTTATTGTTTCTGTCTTGCTTCTTTCTTTGTAACCATCAAATATGGAAAAGGGAATAAAGGAATGATCGGGTCACTAACTTTATTGAGGTGAAAAAATGTAGGTATCCGATATATCACATTCCCATGGGGAGAACCATTAAGGACTTATCGACGTGCTTTCTCACTTTCCACACCCTTTCTTCTTCTTTTCAAGGTATTATTCCTTTTGTCCTTTGAACAAGTGAATTCACCATTGCTTATATTCCCTTTCAATTCCAAGCTTTTATTCTTTACTCTACTAGTGTCTATTCGGAATATTCTTAACTCCATATTCTTCATTTCTTGTCCAGATATGGACCTTGAAGATGACATGGAGAATGGTAGTAGGAAAAGAAAGGAAGGGGAGAGCATCTCTCTCCCACCTTTCGGTCTGGCCACTTACAAGATGCAGGGTGACGTGTGGATTTCTGATAGAAGCGGAAGGGACCAAGAAAGGCTGATGTCACTTTTTAGCGTGGCTGATTCTTGGCTAAAACAGTTGGGGGTTCAGCACCATGACTTCAACTACATGAGTATTCGTCGTGGTTGATGAAAAACTTGAATGATGAAATCATCTTTGCACGCTAACAATGGAATTGACTACCGGAAATCCTTTTCTACTTTGGAATCTTGTTTTGTCACTTGAAAGCATGATCAGCCTTTGAACTGAGAATCGTCAATGCATCTTATGTAAAGGCATTAGGCTTTTATGCAGTCCCTTCCTTTTCCTAAGTCGAGGATCGCAGTAATCTTATGCTTGTGATTTCTGTAACTACTTTTTTGTATAGGAACGAGCCTAGCTTTTACGCGATAAAACTTGAGATGAAGCATGAGACGAGCTGTAGTGGCTCGTTGTAATCGGGCACATGATCATCAGATGTCAATGAAGTCCTTTCTCTTGAATGCAGTTCTTGCAACCCTTCATTTGTTTAGTGGTTCTTGTGCTTTGTAAAATTGTTATGCTACAGAGAAAGAACTAATCTATTACTCTAGTAATTGATCTAATTGCAATGCAGAGAAATTGCAAGAAAAGATAATACTATGAAAAATCATGGTTCAAATCCTATTTACACATGCCTAGACATTGTTGGGAGTGGCGGAATAGTAAGTATTCATTCATCCTTAATCACTAGTCTCAAGTTCGAGCCTTAGGTATGTAGTCATATTTATTAGAGAGGATTTACCCTCCAATGTGGAACTTCCTAGCATAGATTTGAATTGAGTCGAGTTTCGATTCATCCTTAATTAGAGTCTTAGGTTTGAGCCTTAGATATGAAATTGTCTTTATTAGAGAGGATTTACCCTTCAATGTAGAACTTCTAAGCATAATTTTGCAATTAGTCGCGTTTCATTTCATTCTTAATCGGTGGTCTCGAGTTGAAGCCTTAGGAATGTAGTCGTCTTTGTTAGGGAGTGTTTCTTTTCAACGTTGGACTTCCCAACGTAAATTCGAATTTAGTCAAGTTTCAATTCATCCTTATTCAAAAGTTTCAAATTTGAGCCTTAAGTATGAAATCATTTTTGTTAGGGAGTGTTTCTCTTTAATGTAGGACTTCCTAATATAATTCGAATTTCAGTTCATCCTTAATAAGAAATCTTGAGTTTCTGTCTTAGGTATGAAGTCATCTTTGTCAGAGAGTGTGTCTCTTCAATGTAGGACTTTCACACGTAAATGTGAATTTAGTCGAATGCCAATGCAAATACCAGATATTAGTAAAAAACCCAAAAGACAAGTACCACAAATTTTAATGAAATAATTGATGTGCGCACAAGTTGACTCGACCGATACCGGTATTCACATTGAATGAGTTAGTTGATACTTTAATTGATCTCCCTAAAAGTCTAAAACCTTATGTGGGCTCCTTTTTGCAAATTGCAATAAATAATTCAAACTTGAATGAAGTAATAGAATGTTGGTTATATACTCTATAGAGTTAGAAAAAAGTATTTTTAAATTGTCCATTATAAGGTAGAGATAATATTACACATAAGTTTGCTTG